TGCGTAAAAGATTGATGTCGGTCGACCAGGCGCAGGTGGTATTTAGATCATATTGCTTCTCAAAGAGACAAAATAGACCTCTTAATTCATTCGATGAGATTCATTCGGAATCGTATGTCGACGTGAAAAGCTACACCAAAGAAAGATCACTCAATGAAAGCGTATTTTGCTGTCTACCTTGATGAAGATTTCAAACAAGGGGAAATTGAAATTGAAGTTTTACATTTATCATTACAGTAGGCATTCTCATTTTGAAGTTGCTTGTTATTTTTATGCCTAAAATGGTTTTGCATAAAAAAAACTCAATTGTCCCGTCATTATAAAATACAAAAGCATTGGGTAGCAACATCAATAACAATATTATACACAATTACAATTATCGTCCAATTTTCACATACACATGGAACGACTTACTTAAATGCATCTATTAGCTCATTGAACTTACCGACCCACCATATTAGATTAACAAGTGATACCCTTTTCAGTGAGATCGGATATGGAGAAAATGAGCTTACGAGTGGGTGTAGAACCCTTAAAACTAAGGATATACACACCCGAGATAAGATGAAAGTCTTACGAGGTGCCACTTTTTTCTGACTCACAAAGTCTTTTATCATAAACCTGACCAGACGTATATTTAATTGGTTCAATTAACCTTTACAGAGTCGCTGAAACCGAACAGCTCCCCCTTGGCTGTTTTCATACGTCTCGCCAGGTTTACTTTCGTAATTTGCTTTGAGATGGGGCTATAAATTAGCAGTAAAGTGTAACTCTCATCTATTTAGGAAATCACTTACGTGTTAATCCGTAAAAGGATAGAACGAGAGTTTTATGTCTTAGTATTATTAACAAAGACTTAACGGTGCGGCCTCCTCGCCTAAGCATTACCCATTAGGGAGGATGCTAAAACACTATGGACGTTCCTAGTTACACTTTGATAGCTTGTAGCTATGGGTGATTGAACAGGGCACTCTGGTATAGGTTGTCAGTGTGAAGTGCCCATTCAAGGTCATGAATATAGAGGCAACAAAAAGTTATGAAAAGCAAACCCAATGTCCGGTTTAAGAACCTATATTCTTTCTATTGGTGTTGGATTCTATATTACCGCCGGAATATTCCTGAAATCCTCATTTTCTCAGAACTCAAGTCGATCAAGTTTCAGCAAGTATATTCAAGTGGGAGAGTATTGGTAAAATCCATTTTCAATAGTAAGAATAGGGGTCCATAAACAGGCCATTAAAGCGTCAGTCCTTACATAGACATGAGGCAATTTTAGGTACAATTTCAATTTGTAGCTGGCAGTACATTTAAATCATCGAAAATTCACTTCAATTATTCTTTTGCGACTCTTTCGACTGACACGGGTCAATTTGATAATGATAGACATATTATTATAATGTTAACAATTCTCCCGACTAAATAAGTGGTCTGCACATACCATATGAGATATTCACAGTCTTTTTAAAGTCTCCATCAGGGATTGCTCAGTCACAACCGAGGATTGCTCCAGCCACTTTCAGGGCATTCAGTCAACATTGGGGATTGCTCCAGCCACTTTCAGGGCATCCAGTCAACATTGGGGATTGCTCCAGCCACTTTCAGGGCATCCAGTCAATATTGAGGATTGCTCCATCTACTGTCAGGGCATCCGGTCAACATTGGGGATTGCTCCAGCCACTTTCAGGGCATCCAGTCAATATTGAGGATTGCTCCAGCCACTTTCAGGGCATCCGGTCAACATTGGGGATTGCTACAGCCACTTTCAGGGCATCCAGTCAACATTGGGGATTGCTCCAGCCACTTTCAGGGCATCCAGTCAACATTTGGGATTGCTCCAGCTACTTTCAGGGCATCCAGTCAACATTGGGGATTGCTCCAGCCACTTTCAGGGCATCCAGTCAACATAGGGGATTGTTCCAGCCACTTTCAGGGCATCCAGTCAATATTGAGGATTGCTCCAGCCACTTTCAGAGCCTCCAGTTAACATTGGGGATTGCTTCAGCCACTTTCAGGGCATCTTGTCAACATTGGGGACTGCTCAAGCCACTTCCAGGGTATCCAGTCAACATTGGGGATAGCTCCAGCCACTTTCAGGGCATTCAGTCAACATTGGGGATTGCTTCAGCCACTTTCAGGGCATCCAGTCAACATTGGGGACTGCTCAAGTCACTTTCAGGGTATCCAGTCAACATTTTGGATAGCTCCAGCCACTTCCAGGGATCCAGTCAACAGTGCACAATCTAGGATTGCTCCAGTCACAATCAAGAATTGCTCAAGCGACTTTCAGGGTACCCAGTCAACATTGCGGACTGCTCCAGCCACTTTCAGGGCATCCAGTCACAATCAAGAATTGCTCAAGCGACTTTCAGGGTACCCAGTCAACATTGCGGACTGCTCCAGCCACTTTCAGGGCATCCAGTCAATATTGGGGATTGCTCTAGCCACTTTCAGGGCATCCATTCAATATTGGGGATTGCTCCAGCCACTTTCAGGACATCCAGTCAACATTGGAATTGCTCCAGTCACTCCCAGGTCTTGCTCTAATCGCAATTGATCAGGAGGACTGCTCTGGTCACTTTCAAGATATCCAGTTTCAATTGAGGATTGCTTCAGCAGCCCCCAGGGAATGCTCCAAGTGCAATCAAGAATTGCTTCAGCCACAATTGGAGACTGCACAGTCACTTGTTGGGCATCCAGTCACAGCCGGGGATTGCTCCTGCCACTTTCAGGGCATTAGGTTACCATTGGAATTGCTCCTGCCACTTTCAGGGCTTGGTCCAGTCACGGCCGGGGATTGGTTCCGTCACTTTCAGGGCTTACAGCCTCTATTGGGAACTACTCCATACGCACCCGTATATCCGTACTTTTAATTACTTCATCTGGAAATGATTCGAAATAATCAAAGTAATAACTACCGTATCAATTCGATACCTCGTTACATTATCAAACCACTATATATCGTCTTGCTATACAGCAGATGTAATCAAACTAATTGATTTTTACTCGAACCAGTCCAGTTGATTTGTTGCCAAAAGGAAGGGGAAGGAACTCGTAGTTAATACATGTACATGGGATCTGTTAACGTTCAAATTCCCCAAGTCGCCCAAGACCATCATAAGCAACTGCTCTCTACTATTAGTAATTAAACAGCAATCAACTATGTCTAAATTCAATATGAAAAAATTCAATAAGTAATCATTGATATATTTCGTTAATAATAGTTTTTGAAATTTTACTTCAGTAGTTGCAATACCTTCAAATATATTTTGTAAAAAATGAAAGACACTTGGCGCAGAATTAATGAAATGCCACCACCAGTCCTGTTCCTTTTGAACACCCTGTATATGTATTTTTGGTTTTCAGATTTTGATTTATTTCTTCGCAATGATTTATACTATTAAACAGGTTGCTTAATTTGTCACATAATTGGTTCCACTTCAATTTTTCGGCCCACTCTGTATAGCAATTATTGAACTCAGAGTCAGTATAAAATAAATTGAAATCCTGTCTATAATAAGTTGCGAAACTATCATATCAGGAGGTGGAATTCCCGAGCTGCATTTATCAGTTCTTGACTGGCAGATGACTCCATTTGTTCCTTTTATTTCCCACGTTGCAGTTCATTTATTTGTCGAATCCCGAGAGGGTTTTTATTAATCATAACGGCATCCTAATATACAATGATAGACACAATGACGATTAATGAATTGGATTTGACAAAGCATGACAGTGCGTTGCTTTTTGGCTTCAGCTCTTTATAACATAGCTTTGTATGTAATACCACGATAATGATGTACATTCTCAAAAGTATTAAGCTAAATATAAAAATTGTGTAGGGGGAATCCAGTAAAACGAGGTTCTTTTTGTGGAGAAAACATACATTTGCATCGAAGAACGCTCTTACAATAGTACACCGTAACACGTAGGGTTTAGCAACCATCTTTTTTATCATCAATTGATGTTGACCAGCGGTTTCCAAACACATGGAGATTAAAAATGATTTTTTCTCAGATTGTCTGAGATTATTAAATTACTCGTTTTTTCTATTTTACAGATATTGTCATATTTTTGTCACGGTGAATGATCCCATGGCATTTATTATTAAAAGTTTTTGTTATATTATAATAGATTCCATTTAGGAGCTTCCACGTGTCTGTCTTATCTACATGCTGCGTTGTAAAGTACATTTATAGTTCCTAGCATTTGATATTCCAATTTAATATGATATGAAACTATATTTTTTGGATCATCCAGGATAAATAGTATTGTCTCAATTTTGATGTTTTTCTGTCATTCATTTTTATCATTTTATTTATTTATTTGAATATACAATAATTATCTTTATATTGTGCTTATTTACCTGGAAAATAAAGTTGATTGGATAATACTTAAGTTATGATTCAACTTTAGGCGGCTCTGTTTTTGGGGGTCACCATGCATGATATTTGACTTTCCCCACCGAATTTTCGAATTCCCCACCATATCTGCAAGCTACGTTGCAGAACACTTGCATACAATGATATTCATGCTATTAACTGATTAACAATTCAATATATTGCTCTTCAATAATAAACTATATGCTGGCTTGTATCTATCACATGCAGAGATCAAAGAGTTCATTTGGAACTGTTAAAATGTAGAATAATCGACAACAGCATGCGAGATGAGTTAATAGATGCTATTATACATGGATCTTATTTATGGTGTATAATGTATATCGAACATGACATGTGTTTACAATAAAGCATTATTTCTATAAATATTTATTGGCAGTAGATTATTCTTGTAAATTGTTGCCCGTGTAGAATGAGTTATGATATTCATTTTGGACGCAATGGGACCCTCGCGTGCATGTACGCGAGGCTCTTTTTGAAAGAAACAAAATCATGCTATTGGAAAGGAACAGAAGTAGAGGTATCTGTAGATGGAGTTATCAAGTACCAATTTGTAGCTCTAATATGGTACCTAGTAGTTCTTAATTATGTTCTATTTATTTCCAGACGGGAACCCAACTCCGGAGAGTTTTAGTGAGTAGTTAAAATATTGAGGATCCCAGCGCAGACTGAAATGACTACATGACAAAAATAACACACTGCCTGGTATGGTTGACGTCATCAGCAAAGTTCCGATAATTGGAAAGATTCACAAGGCGGCTCAGATCAATTAGAAACAATTTTGTGAAACATGCAAAGCGTAATAGACCAACGTTAGGGCTTCACATCAGTCACTGGCAAATCTAGCTTCGCTGAACCATTCATTAACCCAACAACAGGTACTGTATACATTAAAATCGAACGCGATTTAGAAAGGATTGATTGACTTGAATCCTCAACCACATGAGCCGAGTCCGATCCAATATGGAGAAAATCAGGGCAATGTTAAAGTCAATTGAGTGGAATAAACCCAGAGTCGTTAAACTAAGCTTAATGTCTAAACCTGGAGTTGATCAAAATCGATAACAGATCACGGATATAGATCGAAGGATTAAAGGAGTATTGGGTTAAGATGATCTAGTGATTAAATAATCAGCTGAGGATTATCCACCTGCTACCATTTCACTGTGTTTTGGAATGATGTCACTCTCACTATTTTCCTATGATTGATGCCCCTATAGAGAAACATATCATTTATGAACTGCATATGGAGCCCCATGAGATTAAGCGATATAAAACAGTGCACTCACATGAGTTTCTGTAAAAATATATGACCATATCTGGATTTATAGGAGATCTTCACCAACGCTAGAATCACATTCAAATACAACAGGCCAATTCATCAACAAAGCAGAAAACCTTTACTCTTCGATATTTCATAATCTGGTAACGAGCCAACCAGTGTCTGTGAGATCCAATTTTCATCAACGAGCTGGTACAGATGCAACGGAATAGTGCCACAGCTCGCACTGAACAAGAAGGCAGTAATTTACATTGGAACAGATATCTCCATTGGTAGATTCTAAATATATATCAATGGGCCGTAGAAATGAGCCAAAATTAACGGATTGTGTTAATTAAGTACGGAACTTGCAATGAAACAATCAGGAGTCACTTGTCTTGGAAGAATAAGGATATTATTCCATGTTAGATTGTAATATTCAGCGCAACGATGGAAATCCAATCAACTGGTATGAAAATATGAACAATGCAGTTTGGTTCAGAGTGAACCCAAAGAATACTTCAAATTAATTAATGATGCTGGAGAACGCATTGCTTCAAGCGAAATAAAACCAATTTACACAGGTAGGAATTAATTCGGAAGTTTGAACAGGTGTTTTACACATTGACCAGTATATGATTGCAACGAATATATACATGTATATACTAAAGTTTCATATTTGACTCTGCTCATATCAATTTGGATATATATACACTCAATGCCAACCGAATGGTTGAAATGGATGATAAACTAATTGCTTCAATTTATAATGGATCTCATGGAGCGTACTTTCAACCAGGGGATATCAGTCAATTAGTTTGACGTTATAACAACAACTATAATGTTGCGAATGATGTTAAATAGGTACCAACATCTATTCATATGCATTCTGATTGCCTCGGGGATTTTGGATTATGTTTGTCAGGTTAATTCACAAGAAGACTCAAGTTTCAAAGGGCGCGCAGTCTTGGAGAAGGGTGATTTAATGCTCGGTGCCCTTTTCCCAGTGCACCACTCGCCAAACGATGCAAAAAATGAATACACTAGAACGTGTGGTGGTTACTGGGAACAATATGGAATGCATAGAATTGAGGCATTCTTATACATCCTTGATGAGATCAACAATAACCAAAACATCTTGCCTAACATTAGTCTCGGCGTGAACCTCCGTGACTCATGCTGGTACTCCCCCGTAGCTTTAGAACAGTCCATTGATTATATAAAAACGTCAATCGCCAATCAGGAGAATATAAGAAGGTCGAGCGAAGAAGCGGATGACCCTGGGAGTCAAAAGGCATGCGCAAGTGAGGCAACTGGTGAGGCGATTGCCGCGCTTATAGGACCTGGCTCAAGTTCAATCACAATCCAAGTTCAGAATCTCCTCTCTCTTTTTGCCATCCCCCAAATTGGATACTCTGCAACGTCCATGTCTTTGAGTGATAAAACGTTATTTCGTTACTTTTTGCGGGTGGCTCCATCAGATGTATTGCAAGCTCAAGCCCTGGTAGATATCGTACAGAAATTCAACTGGACCTACGTTTCTACAATATTTACTGCAGGTACGTATTGCACAAACTGCACAAGTAACGTGATGCATTACATTGCACAGCATTGTAAATTGCACTATATATTGCACTATAGTGTACTGCAGGGGCGGGTGTGAAAGATATTTAAGTACAAATGCGTACGTAAAGTTGAAGCAAAAAATTAAAAATCGAGTATCACATATTGTTGTTTTTGTAATATCCAAATACTGTATATATAAGTTGTATAATGTTTACTTTAGTATCTAGGCCAAGAATTCTCAGAATATCTATGTTATCTTAGTGTTGTCACGGTTTTGCTAATAGATACCCGAATGAGTCTTATTTATTTGCATCTGAGCCAAGTGATATGATAAATGTGGATGAATGTCATCAACTGACACAGAGCTGTCAATGGTACAAGACAATTTAAACGTCGTATTCACTTCCAACTGAGTTAAGTCCATTGATAAAAACGAAGCTATGATCGATTATGACGGTTTAGAAGAGCGGATACATGTCCATTGTAACGCACACGTCATCTGTTGTTGTGTTCATGATTAGATTCAAAATTATTAACCAATAAAAACTCAAAATATTCATTAAAGCCAAAATAGGCCATAGGCGGATAATATCCCCGAGATCGTTATTTTTGTCACGTTGACGCCATGTTTGAGGACATTTGTAATATGTCAAAGAAAAGATATGAGATTAATAGTAATTAGTGTAGGAGAAGCTCTCTTTTAACCGATTAAGCGACACCACCGAACTCGTGATCATGAAAATGACATTCGAAATACATAGATACCAACCACTTTAATTTTGTCTCACTATAAATATCTAAAATTCTTTTAAAATACGATCTTGTTAATGACGTTATACTATTTCTCAACGTCAGTTAACAAGAGGAAAACTAAACCAGCATGTTGCCCGCAGAGTTGCCACGTGTGTTTTAGATCCACTATTAATATAATGATAAGAATAGAACAGTGTCACTTTTTACCAGCACTTAATAAGGTCATATAGTTATTTTGAATTGATATATCATTTAATATTGATTCATTCAATATCAGGAATGCAGATAGCTTTTATATCTTGTCATGTTCAGAAATTAACTGTGGATGAAGATTCAGTTTTAGAATTGTTCAATATCTACCAAGGCATTGAATGGGAACTGCAAGTGGTTAGATTTATTTGCTGAATTTAAAAAAAATTGATTAGAGGAAATGTAGCCCAGAGTCCTAACAGCAAGAGATAATTCTTGAGAAGCTCGGTTTTGTTCAAATTGGTTTGGAGGCATGTTTCCGTTTTTCTTTGGATCGACGTCTTACGTTAAGCCTCCGGACTCCTTGGTCAAACGGCTAATCCCAGCAAATTCCGATATTATGGACGAGTCCCCTGCCACGAGCTAAGATCACGTATCTTGTTTATTTTTTTCATTTGGCTTACAGCCGTTTGTTTTTCTCTTACTACCCCATGTTTTCTCATTGTGTAGTCTATTAAGGCATATAGTTTGTATATACAGGCAATGTGCCGTTGTTAAAAGTAATTGAAAATACTTCAATAGAAAGTGACATCGATTTAGAGAATTATAACAAGCTCATGTGGAATAATGTGTGTAAAAGTGGTACTCTAGAAACAACTAATGGAACGCGTAAAAGCCTCTGTAGCAATTAATAAAAAGTGAACATATTTGTATTTCCCTTTTATCAATAAAACATCATATCAATATTATTTCAAGTGGGATAAATCTATATTTTCACTTTATGATAAGAAACCTGTTAGATCCAAAGCATGTTGATTTCCTGGTGGAAATATTTTGTATGTTGTTTGATGTTGTATTTGGCTTATTATATATTTTCTTATATATATCCATTAAAGAATGCTACACTCGTATGTATCATATATACGATGATGGAATTCCTCACCTTCACGTTTGTACATCATCACCATTCACATTTTGCTGGTAACCAAGGTAATCCGAAATCAAAGTCGGCATTTACCTGATGTTTTTATATCAAATCACTGGGTGCCTAGTTACTAGTCTAATTTGTCAATACCAGATTGGGTTGAGATTATAGGGAGTTCAGCCCCCGATCCCCAACTCACGCAGGGCAGGACCGGTCTCTGTCAGATTTGCGTATCAGCGCAGTTAATTATAATATTCTGAGATAGAGAGCTCGCTCATGCCAGTTTTATGATTAATCCATCATCTAAAAATGTTTTTATTACATACATTATGGCGTATTTTTGCTAAAATTATTACCACTAATTGCACCAGAGCTGATGCATCAAGGGGCTTAATCGAAAACTCTTGCGAGAATATGTGCCACTGAACGTCATAGTTAGTACTCTCAACACAGAGTCGAACTGTAACATTCTTTGTTGCAATTGTTAACATGGCTAAAAGGATGTGAATTCTCAATTCCCAATCATAACGTGTGTTAGAAGCTAAAATGTTGAAGTGAAAACACGCCAATCGTGTTATTTGAAAGGCACTTTGTAATGTTGTGACCGTAAAAGAAAATTGATGTTTACGTAAAGCGTATTGTTCCAAAGAAATGTTTTCCATCATCTAGCAGATCCTGATTGAGTTTTAGATTTATGTTATGTCTTAAAATCTTATTTGATTAGCAAATTGCAATTGTGAAAGTGCTACTGTAACTCTTATTTTTACATAACCGTCATGCTAACCACTTTCCACTATCTCATAGCAATGATTTTCCTAGAGAGTTATAGCTATTAATTTCCGGAATTTGTTTGTCTTAAGTGAATCTTCTGTTTGAAATGCTTTTAGAACTAGTATATGTTGTAAGAATGACTTGTGTTTTAATTGAAATGTTATAAGAATACCCTCTTTCCATGAGCCTACTCAATGTGTTCTTTCATGTTCTTCTGAAGAACAGCTACGGCCAACAAACTCAATTTTTTTTCAAGCTCTCCACGATACCAATTCTTCCACAGCTCTCACGGGGAATTCCTCGACTTTTATATAAATTTCGCCAAGGGGAATTATTATTAAGAATCTGACATCAGAAATTGAGACGTTGACTATGCCATAACATGACAAAACAAAATAAGTTAGTCAAAAGGAAGCTCCTTATGTGGCTGGCTTTCTACATTTTATTTTAACGTGTACACATTTTAATGTTTCTATATATCATCTGTTCCAATCATGTCCAAGCTGCATTGAATCGACAGCTTCCTTTTCTTTCTTCACGCATTTCCTCAGTTAGCACCCTGTCTTGCTGTTAATTAGGAATATTTACACGTAAGATTGTTTATCAGTGAGAGTGCTATGTACAATTTCTACAGTGACACTTTAAACTGTAAATTGGCATCGAATATGCTCTCCCTATGCATGTTAAGCTCTTCTGGAAAAAATGAAACGCTGTTTATTGGCAAGTAAAATAATCTTCCCATACTGTAAAACTCCTCAATCGAAACATTATTTGGAACGCTGCTAATTTGTCAATAATACACTCTTCCCATGTACCTATGTTAACACTTTAAACGCTGCTAATTTGTCAAAAAAACGCTCTTCTCATGTACAACACCTACGTTAAAACGTGTAACGCTGCTAATTTGTCAGTAATACGCTCTTCTCATGTACAACACCTACGTTAAAACGTGTAACGCTGCTAATTTGTTAATATTACGCTCTTCTCATGTACAACACCTACGTTAAAACGTGTAACGCTGCTAATTTGTCAGTAGTACGCTCTTCTCATGTACAGCACCTACGTTAAAACGTGTAACGCTGCTAATTTGTCAATAATACAGTTTTCTCATGTACAACACCTACCTTAAAACGTGTAACGCTGCTAATTTGTTAATAATACGATCTTCTCATGTACAAAACCTATGTTAAAACGTGTAACGCTGCTCTTTTGTCAATAATATGTTCTTCTCATGTACGACAACACCTACGTTAAAACGTGTAACGCTGCTAATTTGTCAATAATACGCTTTTCTCATGTACAACACCTACGTTCAAACGTGTAACACTGCTAATTTGTCAGTAGTACGCTCTTCTCATGTACAACACCTACGTTAAAACGTGTAACGCTGCTAATTTGTCAATAATACACTCTTCTCATGTACAACACTTACGTTAAAACGTGTAACGTTGCTAATTTGTCAATAATACGCTCTTCTCATGTACAACACCTACGTTAAAACGTGTAACGCTGCTAATTTGTGAATAATACGCTCTTCTCATGTACAACACCTACGTTAAAACGTGTAACGCTGTTAATTTGTCAGTAGTACGCTCTTCTCATGTACAACACCTACGTTAAAACGTGTAACGCTGCTAATTTGTCAGTAGTACGCTCTTCTCATGTACAACACCAACGTTAAAAGTGTAACGCTGCTAATTTGTCAATAATACGCTCTTCTCATGTACGACAACACCTACGTTAAAATGTGTAACGCTGCTAATTTGTCAATAATACGCTCTTCTCATGTACGACACATACGTTAAAACGTGTAAGCTGCTAATTTGTCAGAAGTACGCTCTTCTCATATGTACGACACCTACGTTAAAACGTGTAGCGCTGCTAATTTGTCAGTAGTACGCTCTTCTCATGTACAACACCTACGTTAAAACGTGTAACGCTGCTAATTTGTTAATATTACGCTCTTCTCATGTACATCACCTACGTTAAAACGTGTAACGCTGCTAATTTGTCAGTAGTACGCTCTTCTCATGTACAGCACCTACGTTAAAACGTGTAACGCTGCTAATTTTTCAATAATACAGTTTTCCCATGTACAACACCTACCTTAAAACGTGTAACGCTGCTAATTTGTCAATAATACGATCTTCTCATGTACAACACCTACGTTAAAACGTGTAACGCTGCTCATTTAGCAATAATACGCTCTTCTCATGTACGACAACACCTACGTTAAAACGTGTAACGCTGCTCATTTGTCAATAATACGCTCTTCTCATGTACGACACCTACGTTAAAACGTGTAACGCTGCTCATTTGTCAATAATACGCTCTTCTCATGTACGACACCTACGT